TTTTATTAAATAAAAAGGTATGCTTTGTGCTTGGTTTCATGTTTATTGTCTGGGACACAGTCTCACCACACTGCCCAGGCTTGAACTCCTGCATTCGAGGGATCTTCCCACCTCCCCCTCTGGAGGGCTCGTGCTATCGTTGTGCACTTTGCACCTGGCTCAGTAAAATCTACTTTTTACTTCACTTCTGCCAGGCTGAAAGAATAACATTCACAGTAAGACCAGGACACACAAAACCTCCCTTCAGGTTGTAAGGAAATCAAATGAATCTTGAGAACCATCTGAAAAGGCAAGGAAGAGAAGTGATAAAAATTTCCAAGTGGTAGCCAGTGCTCATAATCCCAGCCCTCTCGGAGCCTGAGGCAAAAGGATGCAGAATTAGAGCCAGCCCAGAAATTTAGCAATTTAGTGAGATGTAAGTCTCTTAAAAAAAAAAAAAATTAAAAATTGGTTGGGGATATAGTTCAGCACCACAAAACACACATACCCAAAAAACTAATAAGTTATGATTGAAAAAATATGGTAGATGTTTAACTTTTAAAAGAATTTAGTGGGCCTGTGGAGATAGCTCAGTGGAATAAGTGCTTGCCTGGCAAGTGCAAAGTCCTGAGTTTGATCCCTGGTACTACCAGAAAAAAAAAAAAAAAAAAAAAAAAAAAAAGAATTTACTGCAATAAAAGACACACTGCCACTATTACCAACTTAAAATATTTCCCCTTGCTTCATATACACTTAATGAATTGCTCTTGCCACTTTTTGAACCAGTTCTGGAAGTCCTCTTCTGTGAGGGTTTTTAGCTGTGCTCTTGTGGCTGCTTTGATGTTCCAAATCAATTCACAGTGGTTACCTTTCATTGTAACTTGACTTTGGGGCAGTCACATGGGATCCTGTGGTTTGATGAAAACACACTGTAATGCTTTGACAAGCCTGCCTTCCCACTAATGGTGCTGGGCAACGGCACTCCCTGTACTTTTGATTGTGCCACACAAAAACACTTATGAAAGAAGGTTTCTAGAACTGCTTCAGAAAGTGGCAAAACAGTGAGATAAGTGTGTTTGAAGCAAGGAGTATTCTGAAGAGGATTAACGGTAATGTGTCATTAATGTAACATATTTAAAAAAAAACTTACAGGGACAACCCACTTGGGACCCCCTTCTGTCCCTTTCTTGGACAGAAACTTTCTAGCCCC